TAGAATTAACTAATGGTAAACAGTATCAGAAATCTAACTCAGCTGAAATTGTTTTACATGCTTTTATTACTAGTCGCTTGGACTAATGCAATTCTCGTGGTCTACAAAAAAAATCTTTAAAGAAATTGCAATTCATTCAGAATGCTGCGGCCAGGATTTTAACAAACACAGAAAAAAGGGATCGCATTTTCCCTGTGCTGGCATCACTGCACTGGTTACCGGTGTCTTTCCGAGTTGATTTTAAAATGCTTTTAATTATTTACAAGGCTTTACATAACCTGGGCCCTACACACATCAGGGACTGCCTTTCTTTTTATAACCCAACAAGGACACTCAGATTATCCGATGCATTTCTTTTAGAAGTAGGCCTACCTAAAGTAATACACAATACATCTGGGGAGGCTGCTTTATGTTTTTCCCATTGGATCTTAGAACAGCAAACTCCATTAGAGTTTTTAAAAGTAAATTGAAGACCTATCTTTTAATTTGGAGTAATTTTAGAGGTATAACAGTTTATGTTGTATTGTTTTATGGTTCTGTGATATAACTCTTTCTTGTTTGTTTATAACTTGTTTTTAATTATGTTCCTCCTTTTTATTTGGTATCTGTAAAGCACCTTAGGCTGCATCTTGCATTAAAGGTTATATAATGATAATAATAATAATGCATTTTATTTTAAGATTGCTTATCTAGAAACTCAAATAAACTTTACACAGTAAAAAAGAAATCATAATTAAAACAACACACTTCAAATATATTAAACACAACATTAATTACAGATTAAAAGCAGATCTGAAGAGGTGCTATATTAAAAAACCCTTTCATGCATGAATTATGAAAGCCTCAGTCAGGATTTGTGTACCAAGTGTTATTATTGCTCTTGGTGCATGAAAAACAAGATTTGAACTTTTTTTTTTTAAATCTAGTTTTTTCAAAGAGATTTTTATATGTCCACTCAGGTGGCCAGTATGCGTTCAGGGTTTGAACTGAAGAGATGGACATTTTGAAAAAATTATAAATAAAGATGTGCAAACTTAAAATTATATTATAATAACATAAGTATTTTGATTTACGGCCCAAATAGATATTGCAGATTAAGTATTTTCAAGAATAGCCAGGGGCCAATTTGAGGCCCCACGCACAGTTATTTGATGAGTGTTAGTGGAGCCTCGCAGCGGCGAAACCGTGCCGCGCCACCCTAATTGCGGCACATAAGCGCATAGGTGCGCCTCTGTTTAGAGTTTTGGGAGGTCCTGATAATTTATTCCGGTAAATTACTCTGACCTCCTAATTGACCTTTCCGAAGTTATTGAGTCTATGTAAGTTTGCTGCTTGGCTCAGATCCACCAACGTCAGCAAGATCTCACCTCTTCCTAACCCCCCCGAAGAACCAGGTTCAATTAACTGCTGTTTCAATTCAGACAACTCTTTTTTAATCTGTTTAAGCGATCCCGAAGGATTTTGATATCAGTAAATGGAGTGTGCTCCTACCTAAGTGTGTGTGGCAGGGTGCAATCTTACCTTTGACGCAGGAGAGGAGGGCACAGGTGTCTTTTAAAGGATCCCAATCCAACAGGTGGGATTCAGTTTATTTGAAGAAAAATAGGTCCAAACTAATACAGGGTTTTTACCTTCTCTCTTTACAACATTATAATCATACTAAAAACCTGGTGCTGTGATTATGTTCAAATGAAACTTTAATTCACAGTCTTACATTTATTACCAAAATGTTTTAATTTCAACTGCCCATTTCAGTTGTGACATTTTAAAATTCTCCCGATAGAATTTAGAGGTATTTCCTCGTAAAAAGACCGGTGACAATAAAAAGCGCATTCAACTTTTTCATTTTCACCAACTCAATTCACATCAGTTTCATACCGTTTTTTCCGACACAGACGGCGGGTATAACATTTAAAAACCCATACCTTTCCGCAAAATTCGGGGGACAAGATTTCCCCACAGGTCGCGGTATTTATACGGTTCATACACTTTTTCCGACACAGATGGCGAATTAACACTCAAAAACCCATACCTGTCCGCAAAATTCGGGGGACAAGATTTCCCCACAGGTCGCGGTATTTATAAAGGTTCATACACACATCTCTCATCAAATCATTCCACTCATCCAACAACCAATAAATTCGAGAGATATTTACCCCGTCTGGAAGGACCTTACCGAGAGCTATTAACCCAGCTCTGAAGCACACAGCCTACCGGGAGAGAGTCTACCAGGGGTCACCCCCCCTCTCTCGCGCTCTCTCAAAAAACCAGTCCCTTTATGCTAAAAAAACTGGATCCTAAACCCAAAAAAACAAACTCCTCCTCTTCACCCATTTGTGAAGAACTGCGCATGTCCTATAATGTACAAGGCTGAACATGCCTCAACATGTTCCATAGCTGTTATGGGATAAGACACCCTTTCATATGAGGTAAAAAGGACATGAACTCTCTTTGGCCTCTAATGTTTCTCCCCTTAGTGTGAAGCCCCCCCTTCCTGTGGTCTGCTGCCAGAGGAGAGGAAGAAAATTCAACCTAAACAAACCACTTTGTTTTGTTTATACTGTAACTATAGAAAACCTAAAATATGAAGCATTTTCATTGTGGGTTATACAAGAATATAATTGATTATATTTGATTATAACTAACTTTCGTTTTTAAGTATTAAACATATTATGAAAAACTCTCAACACCCTCTTTTCAAAACGCAAAGTTCTCAAATAGCAACAGAAAAAATTGTAAGCATAGATACATATTCAAAAACCGTCAAGAAGCATTCTCATTATGGGTTTATACAAGAATATGATTGATCATGTATGATTTATAATTAACTTTCGTTTTTTAAGTATTCACTTCATACCATGATCTCAATTAACTTTCGTTTTAAGTATTCACTTCATATGAAGATCTCAACACCCTCTTTTCAAACGCAAAGTTTTCAAATATCAACAGATAAAATCGTAAAAACACATACATATTACATCCGTAAAACTCCAAGCATCAATATCATGAAAAGTTCTTCAGTATGTGTAATCAGGACGACCCTTTGATGAACCTGGTGTGAAAAAACACCGAAAACATAGTACCGTACAGGAATGTCCTTGGGCGAGGGGCCCATCTGTTGTAGACTCCTAAATCCATGTTGCTATCTGATGTATATCCTTGACCCTGACCATGGAGGGGTTGCAGTTTTTCGCTGGACGACATCTCCAAACGAAAACCAGATAACTCGGTCGACAGTTGTTATGGATTTTTTAGACCTCGTCAATAATCGCTCATGACTTTGTGACAAGGTCAATGAGTCCCCACACAATGATAGCACAAACGAGGAACCAGAGGCATATGAAACAGCTTAGCTGGCACTCGCTCATGACATCCTGTGTGTGCAGTGTGAGATTAGGTGTATGTGGTGCCAGTGTGGTGCTGGTGGTACTTGTTGTCGTCTTTCGTTGGTGACTAGGACACATCACTTGTTGTCGTCTGTTTCTACCGTCTCTCCTGGCCTGTGACTACGACCTTGCAGTATAGATAGATATTGCAGATTAAGTATTTTCAAGAATAGCCAGGGCCAGGGGCCAATTTGAGGCCCCACGCACAGTTATTTGATGAGTGCTAGTGGAGCCTCGCAGCAGCGAAACCGTGCCGCGCCACCCTAATTGCGCCACATAAGCGCATATAGGTGCGCCTCAGATGAGGCCCTCCTCCGCAAGGTGTGGCCCCCTCCACAAGGTGAGGCCCCACACAGTCTGCATGATCTGCCTGTAGGGAGGGACGGCCCTGGGAACAACAGCAGCAGTATGAATTGTAGTTGAAATATAGCCAGTGATGCATGACGTCCACTGTAGTGGACAGGTGGTTAATCATGACTTCCTGCAAACATAACATCAATACTTTGATAATTTATGAATTCTATGATTGCTTAGTTGTTACTTGATGTCACCACATTTTTTATACCTGCAGGGGACGCTTTCCATAAAAGGATTGGCAGGATATAGATGGGTGACTTGGTCCATGTGGCTTTCTGTCGTCCATCTTGGTTTAGAGACATGTATCATGCACTTACACTGACTTGGCACTGAGTGGCAGTGTATGGGATGATGCAATAGGGTCCTATGTAGTGGCTGATGGTGCAACTATGCAAAAAAAAAACAATGCATATACAAGAAAACACATTTTGAATAGCTGTCCACTGTAGTGACCTCTATGCATGAAAGGTAAAGTGTATTATCATTATTATAAATACATATAAAAACGCTTGCTGCAATTATGTGGAGTACAGTATATCAATTAAGTATAAAATGTGGGGAAGGTTTCAATAGATTCATACAAAAATACTATTAAGGTCTAATGATGCTCAGTTACAAAAGTGCTGGTTAGGAATAGGTGTGGTTTTAAATATGAATAGCTATTTACAGAGTGAGGGGAAAATGCACAATATTTCACTACATGTCAAAATTGGGTTAACAGTCATAAGTTTCTGTGTGTACGATGAAATAGTGGCTTTAAAATGTGACAGAGGCAACCAAATGTAGGCTTTAGAGGCTAATAGAAAACCCCTATCTGGTCACTTTTATTCACTTCTATAGATTGTGGGAAAGTCCTGGTTACTGGACGCAGCCTGCCAGTTTCACCTACTAACGGCATCAATGTTGCAGGATGCAGGTTTGCCTTTTGGCCGTCCGACTGCTTAATGCACAACCTTTACTTACAATTTGGTCCAAATACACAATACTAAAAAACTACTTGTATGTAAATAACCCCTTCCATTTACATGTTAAAGTATTTATTTTGTGCCAATATCAATAGAAATAACGCTGAACAAATTAAGAAATACATTTGAAATTATACACATTTCAAAAAAACTGCATCGCCACACTGACACAGGAAATGATGCAAGTAATAGGTTTATAAAAGATCTTTGTGAAAATGGATGGGGAGTGACGTGGAGGAAGAGGAGGAATTTATAAATGTATGTCCTAACACATAGTATTTACATGATGTATGTTCTTTGCAATGTTGCAAAATAACATCTCCCGCAGGATGTGCTTGGAAGTGAAGATAAATAGATGGAATTGGCAATCATATTGTGTAGTTCGAACTCTGCAGTAAAAAGGTTCCACTTGACAGCGGGCTGATCATCCTGTCGCCACGATGCGTGGGCTCTACAAGATTCTGCTTCTTTTTCTTCTGGCATGCCAAGACCAAAACGGTAAATTGCTCTGATGACTTTTCTTCATCCTGAAAATTAGATAATAACTATAGTTTTAACTCTTTGTTATTTTATTCATATGATTACAGTACTTGGAAGTAAAATCATAAATGGGACAACTGCCGGCGATGATTTGATGAAGTATATGGTATCGGTGCAGGAAGACGATGAACACATATGTGGAGGATTCCTTGTCAGCAAACATTTTGTTGTCACCCATGGGGGTTGTAAATTGTAAGTTACTCCTCCTTTTCTATAATGTTTTGTTATTTGATGTAAAAAGCATGTTTCATTTGTTCTGTCTTGTCACAACTTTACAAAATACAACAATAACCTCTCACTGATGTCTTTTTCAGTGACAAAAAAGGAAAAGTAATGGTTGTTCTCGGCACCTACGATCTCAGCAAACCTGGCAATAAAAGAAAAGAACATATTATATCCACATGCAAACTCCCACCTGGAATTGGGACTGACATCATGCTCATTGAAGTAAGTTTATTCATCCAAGTAGTACCTTGCTTTGAAGAAAATTAAACAACTGAGTTTAATTCAGTGGGAGTAAATGTAAATAAATGGGGGGAAGCAAATAGTAATCAATATTCCTGCTTATAGTATTTGCACAGCACAACCAAAAAACGGTTGATTTACTCTAATACTGCTCGCAATAACTTTTATTTAAGTGACTCATGTGCTCCAACAAACCAATTTGTACCTGACATATGATGTAGAGCAGGGGTCACCAACCTTTTTTAGGGTGAGGGCTACTTTCAAACAATAAAACAAGTCGGGGGCTACTTTTACTCCTCTTTTTTTTGTTTTTTGCAGTGTATATATTTAGCACATTTTAACATTATTATATGCTTACCTTTAACCTTTGTGTGCTGTTTGGGTCTTTGGGACCCGTTTTCAGTGTTTACTAAAAGAACATGTATGCAATTGAATTATTTTAACCTGCTTTATTTGGGGGTGGACCTCACCTCCTCTAGGGGCGGCCTCACATCCTCCAGGGGGGACCTCACCTCCTCTAGGGGGGTCTGGGGGTATGCACCCCCGGGAAGATTCTTTTTTTAAATGTTGAAGTGAAATGCATCAATCTGGTGCACTTTGAGCACAACATGAATTTATGGTGTCATGGCTTGGCTCTCAGCCACAACAAACGCGCGACAGAAACGAGAGCGTGAATAGAAAAAAAAGAGTTTATTTGGCTGCTGCTGAAGTACACAAACAGGCGAAACAAAAGGTCAGCTGGTCGTGACTGCTCTTCACGTTGCGTCCTCCTGCCAGAGAGAGAGAGAGAGCGAGATCCGGTCCAGTCCTTTATCCGGCTAGCTCCAGCCGCCAGGTGTCCTCAATTCCCATGAGCACACACAGAGGGAGAGTCATTAAAGGGCCACACACACCCACCACCAGAGATAGTGAGGCAGGGGTCGTCACACCCCCCCCCTTAAAGTCGGTGTCCCCAGGGCCACCGGCACCACACACCAACCCCATCCCAAAGGAAAAAGTCATGGAAAACAAAACCACACATATGGCACTCCCCCAGAACCCCCATGAAATACACCACCTTCACACAGCAATCCTCGCCTTCAGCACCCTGCCACACCTTTAGCAACACCCGTATCTGAGAAGCACTTTAAAAAACATGGGCAGAGCGAGAAAGATTTATCACAGTATGACAGTCCATATATATACACATCAAGGTCAAACTAATAACTGCTTAGTGCCATGGAGCACGTGACAGCGCGTCAGCAATAACATTGTCGGATCCCCTAATGTGCCTAACATCAAGGTTGTAAGCCTGAAGAAACAAAGACCACCTCGTCAGCCTTTGGTTGGGACACTTCATTGAATGCAAAAAGGTCAGGGGATTGTGATCTGTGTAAACCAAAATTGGTCCTCCTGCTCCCACATATACAGTGAAATGCTGCAACGCCCAAATGAGTGCTAACGCTTCCTTCTCAATCACCGAATAATTCCTTTGGTAACTGTTAAGTTTCTTTGAAAAGAAACTGACGGGTCTCTCCACCCCCCCCTTGTCAACCTGGAGCAGAACCGCACCGACTCCCACCTGGCTTGCATCTACTTGGAGATTAAAAGGACGATCAAAACATGGAGCCGCTAACGCCTGAGAGGAGCACAATAGAGACTTAACACTATCAAACGCTCTCTGACAGTCGACCGACCAAGTATATTTTACCTTAGCCCTAAGAAGTTCCGTCAGAGGAAACACTGTAGTGGAAAAATGTTCACAGAACCTCCTGTAGTAACCACCCATACCCAAAAATCTCTGGAGTTCCTTTTTGGTTGTGGGCTGTGGGTATTCAGATATTGCCCTGACCTTGGCCAGAACTGGAGCCACACAACCCTGACCCACCACATGACCAAGGTATGTCACTGTGGCCTTTGCAAAGGCACATTTGGCCAAATTAATAGTCAGATGTGCCTCTGTCAACCGTTCAAACAACCTCTCGATGCGCTGAACATGAGCCGTCCAAGTATCACTGCAAATTACCAAATCGTCTAGATACACCGTACAGCCCTCTAAACCCAACACCACGCGATTCATCAAACGTTGGAATGTAGCAGGAGCATTTTTTAACCCAAACGGCATTACCTTATATGAATAAAGTCCAGATGGTGTGATAAATGCTGCTATTTCCTGTGCCCGCTTAGACAAGGGGACCTGCCAATACCCTTTAAGCAAATCGAATTTGCTAACATACTTTGCAGACCCCACCTGATCTATACAGTCATCCATCCGTGGCAAAGGAAAAGAGTCTGATTTTGTCACCGCATTCACTTTTCTTAGATCAGTACAGAATCTAGGTGTCCCATCCTGCTTTGGCACCAAAATACATGGAGACGCCCAACTAGATGCTGATGGGACAGCAATTTTATTCTCCACCATGTAATTAATCTCTGCATCCAACCGACTGCGCTTAACTGGTGGCATGCGATAAAAATGTTGCTTAATCGGCTGAGCGTCCCCAACATCAATATCATGCTCAGCCCAGTCAGTTTGCGAAGGAGTGTCTCCAAACAGACACAGATATTTGTGTACCAATGCTGATAATTCCTCACGTCTTGATGCCGTCAAATGAGACAACAACCCGTCTAAATTATCTAGCGATTCCGAATTTCTCAAACGACCACAGAACAAACTATCATCAGGTTCGGGCACTATATCTCCCTCATGCGTCAAACCATGTGTCACCACCACAGCCGGCTGCACTTTATCCTTCTCCACCTCTGTGTCTGTGTTAACCTCCCGCTTGTGGTAGGGTTTCAGAAGATTTACATGACAGAGGCGTTTGGTCTTCCTCGTTCTGGTGTTGCCACAACATAATTTAGGTCAGAAGTTTTCTCAATGATAGTGTACGGACCTGAATACTTAGCCTGAAATGGGGAACCAACAATAGGCATAAGTGATAGAACCTGGTCACCTGGATTAAACTCCTGTCGTGCCGAACAACGGTCATAGAACTTCTTCATGTTACTTTGAGACACTGACAGCTTTTCCCGTGCCATACTCAAAGCAACACCCAAACGACGTCTGAAGCCATTCACATAATCCACCAAGCTCCGTGGTGGCTCAGTGTCAACACAACCCTCTTTCAGCACTGCCAAGGGACCCCGTACAGCATGTCCGAAAACCAACTCATTAGGGCTAAACCCTGTACCTTCATGTACCGCCTCCCTTGCAGCCAACATCAACCAAGGAAGACCTTCCTCCCAGTCTCCATCTAGCTCAGTACAGTAAGCACGCAACAAGGATTTCAATGTCTGGTGAAACCTTTCCAAGGCACCCTGGCTTTGAGCGTGGTAAGCTGTTGACTGGTTCTTCTTAATCTTCAAAAGCTTCAACACCTGAGCAAACATGTGAGATGAAAAATTGGAGCCTTGATCACTCTGGACGACCTTAGGAATACCAAATATTGAAATAAACTGTGACAAAGCCTTAACCACAGCCTTAGTTGTAATCAACCTCAAAGGATAAGCCGCTGGATACCTAGTGGTTTGACACATCACAGTCAGCAGATATTTGCAACCAGACTTTGAACACGGTAAAGGGCCCACACAATCCACAATGAGATGTGTAAACGGTTCACTTACCACTTGTATCGGCTGTAGTGGTGCTGGTTTGATCTTCTGGTTTGGTTTCCCTGTTAGCTGACACACATGACATGTTCTAATATACTGCGACACATCTCTCTTTAGACGTGGCCAAAAGTAGTGTCTCAGGATGTTCAAATATGTTTTCCGAACCCCAAAGTGTCCACACTCATCATGTGCGACTTTCAGGACCAGAGGACGAAACTTAGTTGGCACCACCAGCTGGAAAACCTCAGTTCCCCCACCATCAACAGCCACAGGAACCCATCTTCTAAACAACAAGTCATTATGCAACATGTATCCACTTGAAGTGTTTTCCCCCTGTGCAACTGGCGCAACACAGTCAAAAAGGTCTTTCAACGAAGAATCCTGACGTTGCTCCTCTCCCACCTCATGGTGTGTAAGTAATACCGAAAAGTCAGACAAAGATGGAACCTCCACTGTGTCAGTTGACTTTCCATCTGGTAGCAAGTCATGATCCCTTTTCGCCCTAGCACGTGTGATCACACACGAGTTCGTGACGTCTGGCATAACTGTAGAGCACTTCTCAGATCCTGACTCAATCAGCCCACCAGTGACTAACAACACAGAGGGAACATCAGCCCAGACTCTACCACCTGCCAAACCGTTACCCAGAATGAAATGTATCCCCTTGATTGGAAAAGCTGGGCGTACACCAATAGCTACCTCCCCTTTAACAAGGTCACAGTCAAGATACATCTTATGAACAGGAACAGGGAAAACCGTTAATCCCATCCCCCGACTCCGAACCGTGTCACCAGTGTCACTTTCCTCAGACAAAGGGTCAACGATAAAGGATAAAGGAGTCAAATGCACCGGTATCCCTCAATTTTAATTGGAACTCTGACATTGCTACCTACCAATGACACCAAGCCCTCTCTTATAAAAGGATCATAAGACGCCAAAACCTCTGATCCCCATAAGTGGTCCGTAAGCACCTCATTAACACAGCAGCTTTTCACAGGAACAGCTAATGCCACTGGTTTACCCACAAATCTTCCTCTCTTGGATTTTGCTCTAAGCGCCGGACATTCTGGTTTCCAATGGCCTTTCTCACGACAATAGTTACAAGTATCCTCAGATTTTTCCCAAGCCACTTTCTTTGGATCCATCCCCAATGAACCAACATCAACAGCCCTTCTACTTCCTTCAAAAACGGGTAGAGCTCCAGCGCGCCCTCCGAACCTGCCCTTATGAAGTAACACAAACTCATCCGCTGCCACTGCAGCTTCGGACACCGAAGTAACCCTGTGTTCTATTATATAAGTAGCAATGTTGTCAGGAAGAATGTTTTTGAACTGTTCCAAAATCATGAGTTCACCCAAATTGTCAAAAGAAGTGATGTCCAGAGCAGCTAACCAACGTTTAAAATGAACCGACAAATCCCTAGCCATTTCCACATATGTTTGACCCTGTTTTTTCTCCAAGGACCTAAAACGCTGTCGATAAGCCTCAGGAACGAGTTCATATGCTCTAAGCACCGCCAATTTTATTTTAACATAGCTAGAGCTATCCTCCAGACATAACGCGGAATATGCAGACTGTGCTCTTCCTGTGAGCACACACTGAAGCATCAGGGCACAGTCTGCATCCAGCCAATCCCTAGCCTTAGCTACCCGTTCAAAAAGCAAAAAAAAAGTGTCAGGGTCACTTTCATTACATTGCGGTAACAAGCGCAAATTGTTAGCATCGAACCGATTATGGGACCTGGGCACCTGTTCACCATGCCGCTCACCCAACGCCGCACCATCTCTGACCATAGAAAGACGTTGTCCTTCCATATCCAGTTTGGCTCTCTCAGTCTCCTGCCGTATCCGCTCCACTGCAATTTCCTTTTCAACCTCCATCTCATGCTTCATTTTGTCATGATTCAGCTGCAACAATAACATCTCCTTCTGCTGTTCAAAGGACAGTGAACTAGCCTGAAACAGTGGTTTTAACAACACACCTATTTTCTCTGCCGGAAACACTCCCGTTTCACCTAATGCCGTCACAATAGAGTCTTTTATAGTGCTTTTTAGCCTCTTATCGCCGACGATTTCAACCGAGAAATGTTCAGCAATTACGAGTAGCTGCTCCATTGAGAAATTGTCAAGGGCTTCCTGAGATGGAGCCCTGATAAATGCGTCTACATCTGCCATACTATCACAGAACACCGGAGCTTACACTGAGACGAAAAGCAAAACAATAAATGATTGGAGTTCCCCCACTAACTGCGGCACCCACTAACTAATCTCCTCCCTAGTCTTCATGTAGTTACTTGCGGCGGGTACTTATGCACTGGAGACCGCTGGCCCAGCAAAGCGACTAGCAAGCTAGCAACAATACTGCGACCACGGCCATGCCCCCAAGCCGGGGCTTCAGCCACTTTCACCACAACATTAAACACCCTGCCCAACGATCCCAAGGGAACCGTCGCTATAACCTACCAGGGGAAACTCCGCACAAATAATGAACTAACTCCCAACACCAGCTTACCTTACCGGAATGGACGAGCCCCCAGCTGTCATGGCTTGGCTCTCAGCCACAACAAACGCGCGACAGAAACGAGAGCGTGAATAGAAAAAAAAGAGTTTATTTGGCTGCTGCTGAAGTACACAAACAGGCGAAACAAAAGGTCAGCTGGTCGTGACTGCTCTTCACGTTGCGTCCTCCTGCCAGAGAGAGAGAGAGAGCGAGATCCGGTCCAGTCCTTTATCCGGCTAGCTCCAGCCGCCAGGTGTCCTCAATTCCCGTGAGCACACACAGAGGGAGAGTCATTAAAGGGCCACACACACCCACCACCAGAGATAGTGAGGCAGGGGTCGTCACAATGGATACAGCTCTCAACACTCAGATGAAAGGGAGCTGTATACTTTTCAAGAAACAAACATCTTTGGAATATGATCACAACCAATAATAAATTATTTAAACTTGTTTATTCTTATCTTGTGTTACCTAGTTAGCATTCTTTCTTTTTATTTATGCATATTTTACTAATCACTCCCCTTTTAAACTGTTTTTGTACTGTCCTATTGTACACATTGGAATGATTTCTTACTTTATCTAGCCTATATTAAATAGATAAAGGGGTGCACACACACACACACACACACACACACACACACACACACACACACACACACACACACACACACACACACACACACAGGCTGTGTGCTCCTCCGTGGCGATGACGGCTTGCGTTAAAAAATAATAATAAACATATTTGTAATGTGGGGGGACACAAACGGGATTTTGAAAAGAGCGGGGGACATGTCCCCCCTGTCCCCAGTGGAGATTACGCCATGCGTGTGTGTGTGTGCGTCAAGTGCAATAAATAAATATGCAAGTTGCAACACACACAGTAAAACTCTGCCCCTCATGTGCTGTATAGGCTGCATGATGGGCTGTTCAATGGGGCTGATGTGTTGTGTAGATTCTGCCAGAAGGAAAATCAGCGGGGAGGTGCCACATTGCTTTTCTTCCCGACTGCAACGTTGGTCCCGCAAATCAAGCAAGAACGTGATTGGTCGATATTCATTGTGGGGGTGGGGGGAGGAGGGGTGTTAGATAGATATAGAGTTGTAGTAAGTAGATAGACTAGTTCGCTATGATTTAGGTTTCGTTTATGCATGGGGGAGATTCTTTTAATTACATTTCCTTTTTTGTTTTGTGTATTTTATACATTTTGGATTTGCTTGGCGAGCTATTTTTAGAACGTGCCCGGCGGGCGCCTCATGTTGCCCCTGCGGGCGACTGAGTGCCCGCGGGCACCGTGTTGGCTACCCCTGATGTAGAGTAAGACTGTGTTTTGAAAAACTGCTTTTTGATTTTATTCGTCTCAAGATAAATTCCAAAAAACCAGAAGATCTACCAGAAAAAAATCAACTTCAAGACCCTGACAAGGATTTAAAAGAAAAGTGCCAAGTAGCTGGATGGGCTCCAGTGGATAACAATGACATAGATCATGTTGATCAGCTCCATGTGGTGGATGTGACTGTCATCAGCCCGAAGGCTTGCAAAGTGCAGATTCCTGGACTTCGTGCCAATGCTATCTGTACAGGTGGAGAACCGACAACAGACAAGGGAGGATTTTGTAAGGTATGTTTCAGAGATACATTTGTTTCTTATTCCAAAATAAGGTATAACATCATGCATAATCTTTTTAACAAATAAAGATATTTCCTGCTCACAGAGAGATGCTGGTGGAACCCTCGTGTGCAAGGGTAAAGCTGTTGGAATTGCGACTGTCAACGACAACTGTTCCTTCCCAGGTTTACCCAACGTCTACATTAATATCTCAGAATACCGTTCCTGGATCAACCGCTGTATTGAAGCGAAGAAATGTTTGAAAGAAATTTAACAATATTTCAAAAAGCTTTGCTTCAGCACAATTGTATTGTATTTGGTAGGAAAGGATGTGTCTTAGTCACTGAGTGTTTGCTCTTTAATGCAATGGCAACATTAAAAATAGATATTTATTTATTGAGCTGCTTAGTCAGAGAAGCAGGTCAGCCAAGACACTCATACAAGGGGATTAACAGAATATTTTTTTACAGAAGAAGTGTGTTAAAAACAATGAAATAAATAAATTAACTTGCGTTTTGGTTTTAACCTAACTAACATAAATATTTTATAACAATATATATAACATGTTGATGTTCTATATAGCTCAATGAAGCTATATAACCTCAGCAAACCATAGTGAAGGTCCTATGACATCGCTAAGAAGCTATTCCAGGTTCGAAGATATGAATGCCATCCCTATAAATAAGATAATGTAATATAAAAGATTAAAAATGAAACAGTCCTACTATTGGTAAATCGAGTACATTATGAAGAATGACCATTCAGGAGAGAGAAAAGGTTGTGAATGATAGTATTTGTAATATTATATGTTATGTTATTTATTTATTTCCTATGTTCCTAAAAAAGGCAAAGGGCAGCCACTTGAAACGCTGTTTGCATACGTGTCTGGCATACAGCAGTATACCAAGACGATAAAACACGTTGTATGACACTTTACTTGAAGATATGAGTCTGGTGTCTTCTGACATCAACACTCATATCTGAGGTTGGAAACTGTGGTCACTGAGGTTCAGCTAGTTTGTCACACAAGTCAAAGAAATGTTTGATTAGGCTGTGTCACGTGAGGCACACATGAACCATGTCCTCATTAATTCATCCAAATAATGATGAATAAATATGACCATTTGATAAAAAACAAAACCAAATTCAAAATATTGCAGTATTTGTTTCCTATGGTAACGGTCTTCAACAGGGTACACAAAATGGTATTTAAGTCATTATGAGAAATGCAAAATATATTTCTAGTGTTTAGTAATCAAAACAGTGATACTTGATTCTTAAAATGGCAGTTTTATATTGACATTTACTGCAGTTTCAACAGGTGAATTTGAAAATATTTTTAACATAACTGAGGGACTCAGTTACATGTTAGAGCAGAGTGTTTCTGTCTACCAGTACCATGTGTTGCATTAACCACATTATTTCTTCAATAAAGCTCTTGTTCACATACATGTGATGTAAACTAGTGAAAAGAGGAAAGATACATCATTATTTCAACAATTTGCAAGAGTTAAATCTAAGCACTAATATTAAAATAAAGTTTGTAAAAATTCTCGACACACACTTTTTGTTAGAACGGGGTACAAAAATACGGGACTCAAATGCGACGGCTCAGATTTTAATGAAAAAATAAAACAAAGTTTTAACTAAAAATCACTCATGCGAGGACAAAACAAAACTTCTCGATTTCAAACAAACAAAACGGACGCTGACGATGACGGAAAATCACCCAAAGTGAGGAATTAACAGGACCTGAAAGGAAAGACCAGAGGTAAGTACAAAATAAAACAGGAAATGGGAAAACGAGACATGACATGAAATAGGCAGACAAGACATGAAGTAACAAGAAAACCTGACTCTACATAGAAACCTGACTAGACTTGGAATTACATACCTGACTAAACATGAAGTGACAGACATAAAACAAACACGACTAACACAATTGACGAGACACCACACTTTAGTCTCTGTCACTTTAATGAATATGGGTATCTGACAGTTGCATTTTACTAGTCTACAAACCAAATCAAATCAAATCAAGTTTTATTGATATAGCACATTTATAAACGATTTTTGGTCGAGCCAAAGTGCTGTACATATAATAAAAATAGCCTACAGTAGAGACACTTTACAGCAAATACAACAGCACAGATTGTTCAGAATATCAGTATGAGAAAAACGACACCCTCTATCCTTAGACCCTCACATCGTACAAGGAAAAACTTCCAGAGAAAACCCACAGTTTAAAGGGGAAAAAATGGGAGAGACCTCAGGGAGAGCAACAGAGGAGGGATCCCTCTCCCACGACGGACAGACGTGCAATAGATGCCGTGTGTAAATCGAAGAGATAATACATTTTACAGCATATAGACCGAATGTTAGGAAATGCATGTGTCTGTAATAAGAAGATGAATCCACGAGGATGTCAGCTACAATCCTGTGGAAGCCATCAGGGAGGCAGCATGACGAGACCCAAGGCAGGACCGCAGAGACAGGTTCAGCCACGACCCGAAGTCCACGACTTAATCAAATTGCTCATTAAAATAAAACATGCCAACATGGAGCGTCACACACACACACACACACACACACACACACACACACACACACACACACACACACACACACACACACACACACACACACACACACACACACACACTTCTGACAGAGGCTGCAATGTACCAGGGGTGGAACCAGGAAACGTGTATTCGTAGCTTTTTTTTCAAAATGTCCACCTTTGCTAAACAACTTTGACATTCAATTGTAATCTTGTACACTGTGACACATACAGCAGTTGTAACCCTTAAAGTGTTGTGGGCCTCAATATGGCCGTTATCTTTAACACTAAAAGTTTCTTGCATCTATTGTAGAGGAAACTTCTGTGTAGCTATGCAGTGGGAGTCACCGACTCAGGAAGGAGACACGGGAAGAGCAGTAGCTTTGATGTCAAACACATGATGGTTTATTTGGAGTTAACGGCCGGAGGATTCACATCACAAGTCCAAGAGTCAGAGGTTCTGACTTCACGGTAGAGTTGCCACGTCAATTCTGGAGAGCCTCTCTCTTGCCAGCCCATCTAACTGGTTTCGCAGAGAGTAAACAACATATTTGAGGAGATAGCCTAAACAGTGTGGGAACACAGAGCTACTTGCCTCGGACACTTATGACCTCGAAGATTTTACCTTGGAGTCCACAAATACAGAGAAGGAAGTGTCCCAGTGTACCCACAACACAGACCATCTGTGACCCAGTATTGACCGGTCACAGAATGGGAACAATAACATTATTGGCTAAGCCGCCTGTGTCCTTAAAGAAGGTAAACAGACATCGAGGTTTGTCCTGTATGTTACTAATTGGCGTCTTATGATAATTATTTCCACAACAGTCCTCTCTTTTTATCATTTATGATAACCTAAAAACATTAGTCTAATAATAATTTGGTCAATAATTAACTCAATAGGCGTCTCCAGATTCGAGTGTGGTCTCACCTTACATTAATTACATCACAAAGTAGAATAAGATTGAAACATTCAATCACAATGATTGATACAGCCAATCATAATAGGAAAAATCATCTCTCATCAGTGTTTGATCATCTTTTGTCAAAAGCATAATAATGAACACACATAAAACACAGGTGCACAATGGCTAAATATTTGTTTTTAAACTAATATATTTGATCATTTACCATTAGTTAATTTCATTCATCAAACTATAAAATCAAAACCAGCTTGCCGCTTTAAAGATTTACTTCAAGGCAATCACTAGTCAAAAGCATTTTAAAACTCAGGATCGTAAGAGATCCAGCTACAAATGTACAGTTAGAGTATAGAATTCACACTGGTGATTTGATCAATCTGTAATCTGCAAAAGTGCAGTGTCCTCAATTTTAGGATTACTTTTACGTTTACTTAAATACGCTTTAGTCAAGAGTAAGGCACTTAGTGGAATCAATACATTCATTTTAGTCAAGTACATTGTTCAAAATCTGAAAAGGAAAAGTTAGGCAAATATTCAAAGACTTTTGTAAAAACCTGGAAAGGAAGGATTAAACATTTTTAAACCTTGAATTATTACATTTGTAAATGCTACCACTGATCTGTACCAAATTAAGTCTATCAAGTATTCCTATTAGCCATACTTACCTGAGCTACTTATGGTACTTGGAAAGGATTCTTCTGTGTTTATCTAATGTTGAGAATATCAATTTCTTTAAATTATACTTCTCTAATTTGAGGATCAAATATGCTACATAATTGTTATATGAAATATTATAAATATTTGTTTTGGGCCAAAACTGAAATTAATCCAGTACTTGAAACATCATTGTAGGTCTTTCTATGCATGGATAATACATTAAAGAGTAGTGTTGTTAAGCCTGATTACTGGATTCAAATCCACTAGAGTGCATGTACCTATCCAGAGGGGAGCCAGAACTTGATAGAGCTTGTCGCCGCACAACCAAACGTAATCTTGTGGCGAGCTAAACCCCACATCACTGGGCCAGGCCAAGTTGTATTGCTCACGGTTGCGTTGTCCCAGGCGAGCCGTCATCACGAGGTGGGAATGCTCCATGGGGTGTGTGTGTGTATTCCTTCGGTCGATTTTGTGACACGGACAGTCAGACTCCGCACACCGGTAACACAAACGAGGAACCAGAGAGCATATGGAACCGCTCAGCTGGCACTTGCCTGTGACACCTTGTGTGTAGTGTGTTTTGGTGTATGTAGTGCAAGTGTGGTGCAAGTTGGTGATTAGGACACATCACTTGTTGTCATCTACTTTTGTTGGTGATTAGGACACATCACTTGTTGTCATCCACTTTTGTTGGTAACTAGGACCTTGCAGTGGCTGGCGTGGACCCACGTAGCTCTCTCTCTGACCCTTGGCCTTCAGAGCTGTCCTACTGTAGTTATTGGGTTAACACTTGATAGGGATGTTTTCCTGAGTGTAGACAACTCAAGGTAATGGATTAGCACATTATCATTTAAATACAAAAATAGGATAGGCCCCTCAGAATTATTTGGGAGCCTTCCTGAGACATGCACATGCATAAATGTAAGGTTTGTGTTAGTCATTTAACATGCAAGAATCATAAACTCATCAGTCCAAAGTAGAGAAATGTTATTGTAATTTAAAGGTGAGCTAGTCCCTGCGGATATCACCCCTTCTCAATGATTCTAAATGTTATATTAATTCACCATTTACCGTTTGATAACATATTAGTTTATCAGAAATATTTTCCTCTTCCATAAAACAGGTTTGAGAAATAAATGTTCCAATATAAAATCAATTACTCAATATAATTGACTATTCCCTCCCTTTTCTTACATATGTCTCATATGAAATAATAACTTAGGAGTCTATTTAAGCATGGTGTAATCTATTACTCGAGAAGACTCAGTATCACCTGTGTGCAGCTTACAAAAAAACAAACAATTGTGAGAAACATATATTATGCAGGAAATGCATACCTTTGTTAAAAACAAAGCATATCTGATTTGGGAGGAAAAGCTTCTTCCCCCTTAACATCTGAGTCACTACTGATGGCATAGCATAAATGATAGTGGGTGTCTGAGGGTGTTTTTACTGAGAAATGTCAAACACATTCAAAACCTTACATTTGAAAACTGGTTTGCATTCCTCCACTTAAAATGACGTTATCATTGGAAACAATAAAAGCTAATTGTTTTGATGTAGAATCTATCAATTGAATCGTTAGAGCAGAACAGAATGGTCGTATTGTAGCCTGAGTACCGTGCAGCCTTCAGTTTCACCAGGTGGAAACATTGTCCATATAATGTGAATACATGTAGAACTAGACATTCAGAGGCCACTGACATTTAGGCCTATTTTAAAAAATAGTAGGGGCTTTTAACAGCTTGCCAACCTACAGGCATCCTCTGCATAGCAGTATGAATAGCCTTAAAAAAACAACCCACTCTGCGGTAACGAGAGTCATATTTCTGAACCAAATGCCCTAAGTTAAGCCGTTAGTCCCATCTGACTGACCCAAGGGTTGGTGCTGGTGTGACCGGGAGGCTTCCAGGTGTTCAGATGTCAAGCTTTCAGTTCATGGCTTGGTGGGGGGAGTGGCCCACGTGAGACAGTATTGTTCAGTTTGAGGAGCGGCATTGTCTCTGGAAGCA